CTCCTAAGACACGGATCCTGCCCAATGTGCAGACAAGATGTACAGGATTTCACATCTCTTGACGCAACACAAGAAGCACCAGTCATAGGCTCATAGCTAAAGCAAGGATATCAAGTGCAAGATCTTGTCAAATATTGTGAAGGGCATACACTAGCTGTGTGCAAAAAAGGAACTTGTCCACATGAATCATTGAGATTTGTGTTGGAATTGTAACTTAAAACTTGAGTTTGTAGAGGAAAAGTTTAGTCTCACGTTGGAAAGGAGATGAGAAGATAGGTTGTCTGTAAGCCTTCTCTTTCTCTTCTATGCCTAGAAGAAAATAAATGTTATGCTCCACACCACACACGCGCGTGTCGGCCGGGCTCGGGGTCGGGTGGGGCGCGCCCACGACCTGTGGACACGAATGCAGTCCCGGATTCAGGGGGCTCTTAATCTGCTTTATTTTTAAATTTTTGTTTTTTTACAAATTAGAACAATTAAAATTTGATTAACATTTTTTTTTAAAACGTGTTAAACGGCTAGCATAATTAGTAGGCAAAATTAAAGAATAAAACGGCTAACATTAAAACGTGATAATTGCCGCGGGATTTATGGACGGAAATGGCTAGCATATTGAATAAGACGTGCATGAAGGATCTGAAAGGCGTAAAAAGTGGATTTAAACGATGACTATAATCCTATAAAAAGGACCTACAGCAAGAGTTCGCACGCAGTGCAAAACACAATTTTTTTCTCTCTTCTTCTCTGTTCTTCTCCTTCATTTTCTTGCTGTTACGTTTTTGTTAGTTCCCTGAAAGTCGAGAAGAATTCGCAAAGCCTTCTTGAAGCTTGTGCCGACGAGAAGGAGATCACCTGACCGAGGATCGTTGTATCTCCGAGAACTATTGCCGCGTAGCCCTGTACGAGAGGGGACAATTAAGATTCTTGGGACAGTGTCTTACACGCCTCGATCATCAGGCCGTATTTCTAACCTTATTTAATTTTTGTTTGAATTAATTTTATTTCTGTGTTATAATATTTATCTGATATTCACTAGTAGAAAAGTAAGTATCCTAGACGGAATATCCTAGACGAAAAATTTTCCGTCTAGGATACATTATTCTAGATGGAAAACTTCCATCGAGGATTTTCCGTCTACAATACAATGTTCTAGACGGAAATTTCCATCTAGAATAGTATTGTCGACGAATTTATTTTTTTGGGTTTTTTTTAAATTGACTGATAATCCTAGACGAAAATTTCCGTCTATGATTTATCCTAGACGGAAATTTCCATCTAGGATGACAGGTTTAATTTTTTTTTAAAAAAGGAACCTGATCTGGCCCCAAATTCCCCAAAATCTACCGTATTGTGCTCGCCTCTCTCTCTCTCTCTCTCTCTCTCTCTCTCTCTCTCTCTCACATCC